TCTGCCATGCGGATGTATCTGGTGCGCCTCGGGTGGTGCGTGGATAACTTCATGGCCCGCGTTGACAGTTTCGGGATATCCTTTCCTTTCGGGATATTATCGCCCTCTCTTGTCGGGTCCGTGGTCCGAGAAGTGTTGTTCCGCATGTTGGATGGGGGATTGGGCGGCTGCTCGCGGCATCCAGCCACGTCTCTGCTACGACGTGGCGCGGGGGAGCCCGTCTCTGCGTAGCAAGACATTCGCGCCCCACCGAAAGGCCGGGATTCGGGCCTTCTCCACGGAAGCGTCCCTCACGGCTGCCAGGGCCGAGTCTCTTGGTTATCACGTCGAGCTTGTCTGCGCCCACTGCGGAGCCCGCGACGCCATCTTCCACCGCTCGCGCGATTGCCCCCCCCCCCCCCCCGCGGCTGAGGACGCGAGCAGGCTGGTCGAGCCCGATATCATCGAAGCTGCTCGTGCAGCTAAGGCCCCGGGCGAGCATGAGGACAGCTTTGCAGCCATCTCTGGCGCCTCTTGGCACCCCGCCGACCTCTACCCTCGGACGTTGACTGGGCAGGATGATGGTCCCATGTTGACGTGGCACAAGTACCCTAAGGACGGCCCTGGTGCGGCCCCTGTCGGCAATCGTGTCAAAGGTGACCTCTTTGTCGGTGGTTCTTGTTTTCGCCGCGCGGTGCGCGAACTTCCTCGAGCGGGCAGCGCTGTTTGCATGGCGGGTGATGCTGGTGACTTAGTTGCCGAGCTTCGCGCACCAGCGCGGGGCCCATGCCCATCAGACGGCCCAGGGCACCGAACTCAGCGCCTTTACTTGGGCCAATGTGATTGCCACGCGCCCCGCAGACTGCCACTTTTTCGGACTGTAGCAATGTCGCGCAGCAGGCCGCCAGAGGCAAGTCGGTCCAGATGTATCCCAAGAGGATTTACAATGGAGCCTTTCTCCAGTCTCATGGTCAGGTCGGTGGAATCGCCTCTTGCTCAAAGGTGTCCGCCCATCTTGACACCGACGCTCCTGGCATCGCACCCCGTGAGCGCTGATGCAGACCCGGCAATCACCATGCCGATGTAGCAGCCAATCACGCAGTCTGTTTGCACCCGCGTGGCGAAGGTTTACTTCAGGATGCTGACAGGATGGTGTCATTCGCTAGGGCTACGTTGAAGCTGGCTGCTCACATTCTAGTCCACAGGCCCCCTTTGGATGTGTCTGGAGTCGGCAGGGCCCCCGATCCCCCGCCCCAAAGGAAGCCCACCTCTGGTCATGTCTGGAAATCCCGGAGCGGAATCTGGAGGTGCGCCCATTGTTTGCGCGGTTGCAGGTCTTTCTCGAAGCCCCCGCCAGGATCCTGCTCCAGGAAGTCTTTGGTCCACGCGGACCACCAAGATGCCCTCGGGCACCGCGCCGTCGCATTTCCGTGCGTTGACCACTCGGTGCCCTTTATATGTCTCAGGTGCATAGGCCACATCAGCGGGGCCAAATCCGCGGCCTGGCCCAGGAGTGCGTTGCCCCAACCCGCGCTGGCAATTATGGCTGGGACTACGCGTTTAAAAGGGCTGCACCCCCAGCACAAGCAGAAGAAAGCTGGCGCCAGAGTTGGCGCTGAAGGTCTGGTCCAATGTTTCCGCTCGACGAGTGCGAGCGCCTTGCTGATCGCTGGCCCCGTCGAGGCTGCAGGCACCTCCGACCCAGCCTACGCCACCTCGCTCGCTGGTCCATCTGCTGCACTGTACCTAAACTCGCGCCGCAGCCCCGTGCCCTCGCCCTTGGCCCACCACCCTTCGAAGGTGACGGACTTGTGGGTGACGCTTCGGGCTGCGGCCTCTACGACGGTTCTGAAGCAGACGAGGAAGCCGCTTGGTTCCTCGCTGCTGGCTCGTCTTCCGCCGACCCTTTCGCCAGCGCGAATGCGAATGCAGCTGGCTCGCGCGACGCTGTGCCGCTCGCTGTTTCAGCTAGGTTCGAAGCTGCCCCGCAGCCTGCCGTCGGCCACGTTGGCCAAGCTGCGGGCACAGCTTGCCCCGTCGGCGCCGAGCCGACTCATTCTGCAGGTTTTGAGGACGCGGGGGCTGCTCGGCGTCCTGTCCTCCGTGCCGCTGTGGCGCCGCATCGTTCGTCCAGCGCCTCTCCGAGAGAAGCGCTGCGCTTGGTGCATGTCGCTCTAGCGGTCCAGGATGACGAGGCCCCCCTGCGGCCAAGGCACCGTCCTGCGCCCGAGCCCTATCGATTCCTCCGATTAGGCTCGGCTTTTGCTCGCCAGCTCCTCCCTCCGTAGCTGGCGATGTCCACGGACATGACCCGATGAGGACGCGAGAGCGCGGAGCTCAAGCAAATCCTTCTCTCCCTTCTCCTCCTCCTCTCCCTCCTTTTCCCTCCTCCTCCTCCTCTTTCCTCCTCCTCCTTCCTCCTCCTCCTCCTCCTCTTCCTCCTCCTCCTCCTCTTCCTCCTCCTCCTCCTCCTCCTCCTCCTCCTCCTCCTCCTCCTCCTCCTCCTCCTCCTCCTCCTCCTCCCTCCTCCTCCTCCTCCTCCTCCTCCTCCTCCTCCTCCTCCTCCTCCTCCTCCTCCTCCTCCTCCTCCTCCTCCTCCTCCTCCTCCTCCTCCTCCTCCTCCTCCTCCCTCCTGCGGGTGCACGCCAGGCTCTGCGTCAGAGACGCAGGGTTTGTCGGCGCGGCCTGCCAGCGGCCGACGAGGGCGCAGGCTGGCCCACTGGACGCTCCACGGAAGGCGCGAACCTTGTAAACAGCAAGACGCGTCGTCCCGCGCGGGCTGCGGGACTGCAGGAATCGATCGATGTCGGAATCTGGAGCATATACATTACCAGTGGCAGGCCAGCTTTCAAGCCCAGGTCTTTTGGAGGGCCTGGGACGACGTAGGGGTGGCGTGGTGTATACCTTTTTTAACCGTTTCCATTGGAAACAACGAAAAATGTATACACCATGGTCCCGTATACACCAGGATCCTTTATCCTGTGGAAAGTTCAGTACATAGCTGGAGAAAGCGTCGGTGTATAGAGTTTGGTTTTTTACGATGAGCACCGCCACCGCTCGACCAGATTCGCGAGGCCAAGATGGTCCCAGAGGCCCCGAAACTGCGACATCCCGGGGCGCCTCGGGCCGGGGCTCGCTGGGGGCGCGGCAGCGAGCTCATTGCAGGCCGAGGGCAAACGACGGGATGGCGACAATGGGCTCACCGAAGGCTCGTCGCTGCCCGTTCTGCTTCAGAGAGCTCATCGCCGCCACCCCACTGCAGCATCTGACCCTTGGGTCGCCAGCGGGTGCGCGAGGGTAAATCGCGCGTCGCGGTCAGGGCCAGAGAGTTGCCCCCTTCCATGGTGTGCGGAGCGAATGCGCGAAGATTATCGCGGACCGGTCTACAACCAGGAGGCAATTTCGAGTAAGGGCCATTTTCGGGGGCAGCGATAGGGGTGAATAGGCATACGGGGGGATGCATCGACCCCAACTCGCCCACTGATCGACTGGTCGCCGACAGGGGCCCGATCGCCCCAAACTGCCCATGAAGGTGTGGATTCATTATCCCGGGCCTACCGCCGATCTGTCGGCGATGTACCGCCGCTTCCAGGTCGATTCGATGCATCCCCCCCTAGTCAGCCACGTGCAGAGGGGGGGGTAGGGGGGAGGGCTTCTTAGAAGCACCCCTGCTTCTTGGAAGGCGCGGGCCTCATCTATAGATGTAAGGCCGGCGCCCTCTACGAAGCAGCCTCCTTCTAAGAAGCCCTCCCCCCTGCCCCCACCCCCTTGTGCGCCCCCGATCGTTGCCCCTCGCATTTGGGATTCCGCAGGGGCCGGTTGTCCGGCCGCACCTCAGACCCGGCCATGGCCAGGGCTCGGCCGCGTCCAGGAGGAGGCCCCAATTCGTTCCTCTGTGGGCGCCCTCTCCGCTGCAGCGCGAGGGTCCAGACATCCGATGGACAGACTCGTCCCCAGACCTGCTCGCGTCGTAAAACATCAGGACGAGGGGGGGGGGTCATCGTTTTCGGCCTCTGGGGGCCCTCACCAGGCCTCGGGACCGTCAGAAAACGGCTCAGGATGGAAAGCCTGGGGAAAGAGTAGGGTTTTCTGGGGGCCGCGTATTGAACAAATCAGGACGTCGCATGCTTGTGTCCGGTGGATAGCCTTCTGTTCCATCCATGGCCCCAGGGGTCTCGACCCCTTCCCGAGACCCTTCGTCCCGGACCCCTCTTCGACGGCCCCGGCTCGATTCTCACTTGGCGTCCTCCGTTGCAGCGCGACGGCCTAGAAATCCGCTGGACAGACTCTTCCGATGGACAGAGTTCTGTTCCACCCATGGCCCCAGGGGTCTCGATTCCACTCCCTTTCCCAGCTCTTCCCGTCCCGTTCCCTCATGTGCCAGTCCTGCCCACGCCCCCCCCCCGTCCATTCGCTCTCGCCCTTTTGTCGCCCCTCCACCATCCAATATTTCATGTGTCTATATTCGTCCTCGCCCTCCTCCCTCCTCAAAAGCGTAACCGGTGGGGCTGCGGGACCGTCTTCTGGGCCACCTTTCCGAGGGGTCCTTCTTCGTCCGGGCCCCTCTTGGACGACCCCGGGGGGCCCCGAGAGCGGCCCCAGAGGCCGACTTGGAAGCAGAGAACGCCCGGACCGAACAAGAAAAAAAACAATCCGCGGGATGTCTGGGTCGACTGCACGCACGCAAGAGCGACCCTTCGCCGGAGTGACCTCTGGTGCGGACCCACGATAGGGTCTCCCGATCGCCGAGCGCGAGGCGTCGTTCGCGCCCTGTGCGCTCGGGGGCCGCGCACCACCAAGGGCCGCCTGTGCACAGGGCCGCTCCTTGCCTGTAGCCGACCGTGGAGGGTGTCTCCTCCTCCTCCTCCTCCTCCTCCTCCTCCTCCTCCTCCTCCTCCTCCTCCTCCCCTCCTCCTCCCTCCTCCCTCCTCCCTCCTCCCTCCTCCCTCCTCCTCCCTCCTCCTCCTCCCTCCTCCTCCTCCTCCTCCTCCTCCTCCTCCTCCTCCCGAAGCGAGCCGAAGGACCGGCCCCACTGGAAACACGGCATCGACGGCGAGGAGGGGCGCATCCTCGAGACCCACCTCGAGAGGCGGGGCGGCCCCGCTTTTGGGCGCGTCCGCGGCGCGCTCGCGGGGTGCACGCGTCCCGGGTGGAGGGGGGGGATTCTGTTCGCCGTTCGCGTGCTCGATCCATGTAGGCTTAAGTCGGGCGCATCCCTCTACAGGAGGAATGTTCAAAAATAGTCTAAAAGTAGTATAGAAACGACTGTGCGACTGTTTGTGCAATGTTTGAATATGTTTGACCATGCTTCATTGCTCCCTCAAAATCCGCCTGTAGGGGGACAGGCCCTACCTAAATGTAGGCGCGGGCGGCGCTGATGCCGAGGGGGCATGCCGCTTGCGCCACCGCCGAAGATGGCGCCGCCACCGCCCGGGGGAGAGGGGGGAGAAGGGAGGGGGACGGTGAGGAGGAGGGAGAAGGGAGGGGGACGGTGAGGGGGGGGAGGGGTCCACAGTCTGGAGGATCGAGGAGGGAGCAAAGAGGGAAAGGGGGATCCGCCACTGCCGGGGGGGAATCGAGGAGGGAGCGAAAAGAGGGGGAGGGGGAGGGAGGGGGAGGGGTCCACGGTGTGGGGGATCGAGAGCGGCTCGGGAAGACTGGGTGGCGAAGGCCGACAGCAGTTCCTGCCCATTCTGCACAGGACTCGTTGTCGGTCTCGCGCAAATATTAAGTCGGGCCTGTCCCTTTACAGGGGGAATTTTCAAAAGTAGTGAATGACAGTCAAGAGGACGATTTTTTGAATATGTTTCTACCGTCTGGGGGCATTTGTTGACAATTTGTATGTTTCGTCCAAAACCCCCCTGTAGGAGGACAGGCCCGACTTAACGCAAATAGTTTGATTCGTGTATATATATATATATACACACGGCTGCATTGGCGCTTCGCGCCGTGCATCTTGGTCCTTCACGTCCAACATGAAGGCCGATGGAGAGAGAGGTAGATCAATCAAAAGAGCGATCGCTCCTGGTTGAAACGTTCACCATCACCGTTATCATTATCTTGTTCCTGCTCCTTCCCTCATGTATCCTTTTCATATTCCTCTTCCTCTTCACCGTTCCTCAATTGCCCCGCGAACACCTCCCCGTTTTGCTTATATTTGTTTCTGGAGGACCTCGCGAAAAGCTTTTAAGGAGCTTCTTGGGCGATTCTGGAGACGTCCCTGTCGTCTTTCGGCGAGCCGTGGTCTCGGGTCACGGCTTGAATGCTTCCAGAGGACATCGTGGGGCAATTTTGGGCCGTCGTAGGGCGATGTATGGGTAGTTTCTGAGTCCTCGTGGGCCGTCATGGGGCCCTCTTGACTGTCAGGAAGCCTTTTGGGGATCGTCTTGGAGCAGTTGTCGGTTGGGAGTGATATTTGGGCCGCATTCGGGCGTCTGGCGGGGGCTTGGGGTCGCTGGAGGCAATCTCAGACCGTCCCGGGGATTTTCGGGACGGCCACCGACCCATTTGCACGGTTCGGCAGGGACTTCCAGAGGCCCAGAAATCTCGCGGGGCCTTCGAGGGCGTGCCCAGGAAACTTGCACGCTGGGAAACCCGTTTCTGGGGGAGGGGTCCGCAGGGTCCTAGACCATAGAAGTATAGAATAGGGAGCACAGCAAACGCCGCAGTCGGTCTTGAAAACATCTGCTGTCGGGCATCGTACCCAAGATCGGGGGCGCACTAATTTCGCAGCCCGTCTGGAAAACACGCATTTGCAGTTGGGCCTCGTGCCCATGACGCTGGGGCACCCAAAAAGAGGGTGTGCTGGGGCGCCCATGGTCGGGAGCGCCCACGGTCTGGGGGTGGATATCGAGGCCGCGGCCATGATGTCGCCCCTGTGTGATGGCCCCCGCCTCTTCTGGAGGCTGGGGACGTCTCGAGCGAGAGGGGGGGGCCACTCAACCAGGGAGACGCCCCTTGCCTCCTCGCACCTCCTCGCCCTGGTGGTGTTGGTGTCGGCCTTCCTTGTTCCTGCGCTTCGTCCGCGCACATGCTTCATTTCCATGACGCCCAGCCCCCCCTCGCTCTTCCTGGCCCTTCTCGCGCGGACGTCGGGCCGTGCCGGCGCGCCCGAAGGGAGGGGCGGGGTCTACAGGAGTCCGTGGGCCAGACCGCCGAAGATTCCACAGCGCGAAGGGTCGCGGCGAGACGAGGCGCTTCAGGAGGGAAACAAAAAACACAGACACCATTCCTCCCTCCTCCCTCCTCCCTCCTCCTCCTCCTCCTCCTCCTCCTCCTCCTCCTCCTCCTCCTCCTCCTCCTCCTCCTCCTCCTCATCCTCCTCCTCCTCCCTCCCTCCCTCCTCCCTCCTCCCTCCTCCCTCCTCCCTCCTCCCTCCTCCCCTCCCTCCTCCCTCCCTCCTCCTCCTCCTCCTCCTCCTCCTCCGGAAAATATGGGAAGTGTGGGGGAAGACAAAAAAACCAGAACATGTAGGCAACTATGAGGAATCCTGCTATTTGTGTTCATTTGTTTGTGTGTCCCAGGGCCCCTTCAGCACACCCGGTCCCCAGGCAGCCCTTGGGTGACACGGAGCTGCGGCAAGCATCTGGATGTGGATGACGACGCTGGGTCCCAGTGGCGCGGCAGAGCGTGCCAGGACAGGTGAGGGGGCGGGGGTGTTGGATGGGGAAGGCGACAGGACGGGCGGAGCTTAGATCGGAATAGGTCTTCCCAGAGCGTTCTGGCATCTGGAACGCTCTCGGAGCGTGCCAGAGCGCTCCGGAACGGCCGTGGCGCCCGACACCTCCTCCCGAACCGCCATTTCGCAGAAATCCCTGGCTAGTCCCGGCCCCGGCCTCCTCTCCGCCTCCTCCTCCTCCTCCTCCTCCTCCTCCTCCTCCTCCTCCTCCTCCTCCTCCTCCTCCTCCTCCTCCTCCTCCTTCGTATTCCTCCTCCTCTCCTCCTCCTCCTCCTCCTCCTCCTCCTCCTCCTCCTCCTCCTCCTCCTCCTCCTCCTCCTCCTCCTCCTCCTCCTCCTCCTCCTCCTCCTCCTGGAGCACGAAGGGCCCCTGGGGAGGCCGCGGTCCCGTCGAGGCGCGCGGGCGCAGGCCCCGGGAGAGGCCTGCCCCCTGGAGCTCCGCGGGCCTGCACGCAGGGGGGGTGGGGTGCAGCTCTTGAGAGGAGGAGGATGAGGAGCAGGAGGAGGAGGAGGAGGAGGAGGAGGAGGAGGAGGAGGAGGAGGGGAGAGGAGGAGGAGGAGGAGGAGGAGGAGGAGAAGGAGGAGGAGGAGGAGGAGGAGGAGGAGGAGGAGGAATACGAAGGAGGAGGAGGAGGAGGAGGAGGAGGAAGAGGAGGAGAAAGAGGAGGAGAAGGAGGAGGAGGATGAATAAGAAAAAAGAGGAGGAGGAAGAGGAGGAAGGGGGAGAGGAGTAGCAGGAAGATGGAGATCAGGACGAGGGAGGAGGAGGAATAAGAAAACGAGGAGGAGGAAGAGGTGGAACAGAGAGAGGAGTAGCATGAAAATGGAGAGCAAGACGAGGGAGGAGGAGGTTCGAGTCGGCATCAGCGTCGGTGGTCCTGGGGTCCAGAGCCGGCCCAACTCTGCCGAATCCCGATTGCTGTTGCGGGCTCCCGCTCGACAGCAAAACGGGTGCAGTGGCTCCTTCTTGAGGAGTATTGGGACATGTATTTATTCATTTGTATGTCCCCGGGCCCGTTCATAATAGCCTTTAGCCGTTATTGCGAGGGCCTCCCAGGAGTGGCCTCCCAAGGGGTGGAGGGCGGGAGAGGAGGACCCAGACTTTCTCACGACGCGACAACGGAGCGACGCGAGGTCTGCGCTGTCTTCGGCTTCCGTGTGGAAGTCTTTGCCGGCCCCGAGGGCCGTCAACCACTTGCCGGCCCCGAGGGCCGTCAGCCAGGCGGCTCAGGATGCAGAAGCCGGTCCCTTCGAAGGGGTCCAGACTTGTGGGAACTACCTTGTGTTTTTTGGGGTGTTGGATCGCCCTCCCCCCCAAAAAAACACGACGCCAGATGTCATGGGACGAGGAGGATGGGGAAAGGACGAGGAGGAGAAGAAGGAGGAGCTCCAGAAGAGGAGGGGGGCGGGGAGTTGAAGGGAAGAGGGAAGAGGAGGGAGGAAGATCAAGGGGAGGGAGGGGAGGGAGGCAGAGGTCGTGGAGGAGGTCCGAGGGAGGGGCGGAACGCCGGCAGGAGGACATGGAGGAGGCCCCCGAAGGAGGAGGGGGAGCCCCAGGCCGTCCACGCAGATCGTGGACGGCACCGTGCAGGGCACGAAGGCGCTGCCCGCCCTCTGCCCACGGCGCTTGGCCCTGGCTTCCGCCGCCGGCGCCGGCCGCCTTGCTCCCGCCCCGCGGCGCTTGTCTCATGCGGTTCCAAGCGGGACCCCAGGGAAAGGCGGTCTGGGTTTCTTGACAAGCGTGGGTAGGGGAACAAAAAGTGACATAAACATCAAAATTCGGAGATCCGCGCGGATTTCTCGGATCGGCGCTGGACCCCCCTCCCAGGCGCGCGGAGCGCGCCAGGGGCGGCGCCGGAGGCGCCGCCGGGGGGCCCCAGCGCCGATCCAAGAAATTCGCGCGGACCTCCGAGTTTTTATGTTTATGTAACTTTTTGTTCACCTACCCAGGGAGAGGTGGTCTGGGTTTCTTGACAAACGTGGGGGTCCCCCCCCGACGGGGGTTGGCCTCGCCTCGTCGTCGCGCCGCGACGGGGGGTCGGGGCGCCTGCGGCTCGGGGCTCGGGAGGCGGGGATCAACGCCAAGGGGGGCAGTCAGAGGGCAGGATCTTGCATTAAGTCGGGCCTGTCCCCCTACACGGGGATTTTCGACGAAAAATACAAATACCCCAAAAATAATCAAAAAATAGTTCAAAAATAGTCTGGAAACTATTTTGTTGAGTAGTTTTTTTACGTTTCGGGGGTATTTTTTATGAATGTTTTATTTTTTTCGAAAATCCCCCTGTTGGGGGACAGGCCCGACATAAAAATCTTGCAGGAACCTGCAGAGCCAGGTTTGCATTGACCCGGGCTTGGGTGCAGGATCCTGCACGATCCCGCAGGATCATGCAGGATGTTGCAAGGCCCGACTGAACCGGGTCTGGATTGACCCGGTTCAGCAGATCCCCGATCCGCCCCGCGGCGCTTGTTCCATGTGGTTCCAAACGGAACCCCAGGGAAAGGTACTCTTGAGACGGGCGATGCCGATGTCTCCCGTCCGCTCGGGTTTGGCCCGCCGGGCCGTCGCACGACGCTCTCGCTCGCACTCCGAGGTCTCGGATGCAGCGCCGCGGTCTTAGAAGTCTCAGAGCGTGAATTACCTACCCCGCTTTCGCTTCCAGGCAAAACCAAGCCATACCACGCGCCTCCTCGTCAAGCGGCCTGGCCAGTACAGGCTGCAATTTGGCATCGTTTGGTATCTCTTGGAAGCGAGGGTGGTCAAAAGCGAGGTAGGTTTGTTTTCCCCCTAAAGTCCCTTTCGCTGGCGTCCCCTCAGGAAACGCATCACTGTTCCTGGTCCTCCCAGATGGGGTCCGAGCAGATGGGGTCGGAGGTTCGCGCTGCATCGCCGATGCATCAGCGATGCGGCTCGCCCGATCTCCTCCACGCCGACGTCGCCGATGCATCGCCGACGTCGCCAGTGCATCTCCGAAGCATCGCCGATACATCGGCGATGCATTGGCGATGCGGCGCGATGCTCCCGACCCCACATCAGGAGAAAGAAAAACACACACAGACACAATTAATCGTCTATCCACCGGACAATATTTGAAAATAGGGGATGTGGGGGGGGAAGACAACAGATCAAGAAGATATTGGAAAATATGGGCAATCCTGTTATTTGTGTATTTATTTGTGTGTGTGTGTGTGTCCCATTGCCCCTTCAACCTGCTCGGACCCCATCTGAGAGGCCTCTCTCTAACAGGGCTAGGATCGGGATAGATCGCTCCAGAGCGTTCCGGAGCGCTCTCAGAGCGTTCCGGAACGCTCTGGAGCGGCCGCGGCGCCCAAAACATCCTCCAAACCCGCCGAGTCTCAGAGATTTCGAGTTGAGTTATCCCGATCCGATGTTGTCCCGATCTTCGCGTCGTTTTACTCTCCTGTTCCTCTCGTCCTCCCCTCTCACCACCCACCAAACCACCCCAACCCAACCCGAAGGCTCAGATTTGCCCTCCATTTCCAGTGGGGGGGGGTCGGGAAACATCGAAAAAACACTCGTGGAACCCTTACCCCCCCCCAACCCGAAATTCGGGTCTTCGGGTTGGGTTGGGGTGGTCTGGTAGGTAGTCAGTCGCGCCCCGCGCCGAGGGAGCGGCGGGGGCGAGCGGTGCGGGCAGCGCCCAAGAGGGGCAGGAGGTAGGCCCGCGACGACCCAGGAAGGCCGCTCGGGACTCCGAACTTCTGCTGGCGTGCTCCGGGGAGATGTCGTCGTCTCTCCCTCCTCGCCTTCTTCCTCCTCCCCCTCCTCCTCGTCTTCCTCCTCCGCCTCCTCCCCCTCCTCCTCATCCTCCTCCTCCTCCTCCTCCTCCTCCTCTTCCGCCTACGCCTACGCCTACGCCTCCTCATGTTCTTTCCCGTCCTCGTTTTCCTCCTCCTCCTCCTCGTCTTCCTCCTCCGCCTCCTCCCCCTCCTCCTCATCCTCCTGCCCTTCCCCAGGGCGGTCGGGCTTCTCGTCCCGAGGATTGCGCCGGGCCTCCCGGATGGGGCGGGAGTGGACGGGGTCGGAGGATCGCACCGTGTCGCCAGTGCATCGCCGATGCGGCGCGATGTGGAGCCCGATTTCTTCCACGCCGACGTCGCCGATGCGTCGCCGACGTCGACGATGCATCGCCGACGCGTCGCCGACGTCAACGCCGATGCGGCGCGATCCTCCGACCCCCTCTTCTCCGACCCCATGTAGGAGGCCTCTGGCACTCCCGAAAGATCTGAAGCCCTTCCCCGGGACCCGCTTCTCGTCCTAAACATTTGCAGCGGCTAGCAAAAAAGCAGTCGTGGTGTGCACGCAGCGCGAGGGTCTTAGGATAGCTCGAGCTGGCCTTCAGCTGACCTCGGTGATTCAACAATGGGGTCCTGAGGGATGGATCCCTAAGGACCGGGTGCCTCAAACAATGTAAATTCACCCTTGGACCCCTCCCTACTCTGGGTTTCTTAACAAGCGTGGGGGGTACCCTCCCGACGGGGGTCGACCTCGCCTCGTCGTCTCGCCGCCACGGGGGTTGGAGCGCCTTCGGCGCGCGGTGACTGCCCGCGACGGGGGTCGATGTGGGGCTGTCGGCGGCGGTCACGCCCCCCGACGCTTCTTAAGAACCTCGGAGTCTCCCCAGGACCACCTATCTCTCAGGACCCCAGATATCTGAGCCACCGGTGACAGCCGGAGGGCGCCAGCCCGCGGGCCCGCCCCGTCCGGCTCCGGGCAGTCCAGGGGGAGGCCCCCCTGGGAGTGCCGGGGCGGCCAGGGAGCCCCCCCAGCACGAGCCCCAGAGCGGGCACGACGCCAGAGAGCCGACGCTCCGAGCAGCTTGCAGCGGCGGATCTGGGCGGCCTCCGGCCTCCATGCAGGGGCCCTCGCCGGGCCTCGGGGCCACATCAGGAGACGACTCGGGACGAAGGAGCGGCCCGGGGGAGGTGGTCCAGACCTCCGCGGCCCACGCATCGACGAGAGTCGGAGCGGCGGGATGCCTGGGGCATCGGCCTCTCCCTCTCTCTGGGCACCGCTTTCGCCGGCCCTTGCTCAGAGTCCCGAATCATTCGGGGGTAACTCGGGTCAGGGCTAACTCGGGTTCGTTTTTGGGGGAATCCGAACCCGACTTACCCCGGACCCGAGTTACCCCGGATAATTCGGGCGCCCAGAGCCCCGAATCATCAGGGGTAACTCGGGTCAGGGCTAACTCAGGTTCTTTTTTTCGGGAATCCAAACCCGAGTTACCCCGGACCCGAGTTACCCCGGATAATTCGGGCGCCCAACTTTCGACGGCCCACGCTCTCTCTCTCTTGGCACCGCTGGGCGCACCAGGGCTGGCTTGCGCAGAACCTGTCGCGCATCCAGGGGCGGCGCTGGCGGCGGGCGCCAGCCGCAAGTCCCCTCTGGCAAGGGATCCCAGGAGAGGGAAGGGCAGGAGGAGAGGGAGGGGGAGGGGGAGAAAGGGAAGGATGGGGAAGAGGGGAAGAGGGGAAGAGGAGGAGGGGGAGGGGGAGGGGGAGGATGGGGAGGAGCAGGAAGAGGGGGAGGGGGAGGGGAGGGGAAGGATGGGGAGGAGGGGGAAGAGGGGAGGATGGCGAGGGGCACGGGGGAGGGAAGGGTGGAGCTGCGGCGACCTAGCGCAGTGCGCGCAGGGGCCACTACGAGCGCGCAGAGCAGTGAGATCTAAGTTGAAATCGGGCCTGTTCCTCTACAGGAGGGATATTCCAAAATAGTCAGAAAATAGTCTGGGAACGATGCTTTGACTATTTCTGACCACGTTGGAGCATTTGTTGCATATATTTTTAATTTGTCCAGAATCCGCCTGTAGGGGAACAGGCCCGACCTAAATCTAAGTGCGTCAACCTATGACCTGCGATTCCAGCACGCCTATGGCCCGCTGGGTTGTCAAAGCATCAGAACAGCTGGGCCTCCCAGATTGGGTCGGAGGAGCGCGCCGCATCACCGAGGCATCGCCGCTGCGGCTCGATTTGGAGCCCGATTTGTTTCACGTCGACGTCGCCAATGCATCGCCCACGTCGACGATGCATCGCTGGTGTATCGCCGGAACTTCGTTGGTGACCATGTAAGGCTTGCTCTTTCGATGGCATGATAACGTTTGGAATTCCTTGTCGACGCCGACCTATCGACTACAGCATCCGTGCTTGAAAATGGCGAAGCTCGGACAATAACCCATCCGCTTTGTATAAGACCCAGCGCTTTGCACCAATGTACAATCGATTATAGCTTTCCATGTGTGCCTTCAGGGCAGCGTCAACGATTCGTGTTCGCGCCAGGAACAAAACGTTGTGCCCCGTGCAGGCCCGTTTCCATGTCATTGGTGTTTCGCGTATTCCCCATCAGCCCATCCAAGCAATCAGCAGGCGAGTTGCCCCGATCAGGCATGCGTGGCAGCATGCAGTCATGCTGTAGGAGCCTCTTGGAGAGGCCATCGGGGCATTTTGGAAGCCTCTGGGTCTCGGGGTCCTCTTGGGGTCCTCTTGGAGCTCTCTTGAGGGTCCTCTTGTGGGCCTTCGGGGACCTCTTGGGGCCATCTTGGAGGCCATGCTCCCCAAGCAGTGCTCGCACTTGGGGCTCCTTGC